AACATAAATTCGGTTTTGGCCAGTGTTCCATTTCTTCTTTCAACCACGTGGGCCCTTCCCACCATATGCTATTCTGCTTCAGATGTTTGACATTTTCACCTCTAGTTAGTAAATCAGCTGGATTATGTTCACCAGGCGTATATCTCCAGTTCAAGACATCTGAATTCTTCTGTATTTCCTTCACTCTGTTCTGAACGAATGGCTTCCACCTTTTCACATCACTTCTAATCCAATGTAACATTATACTAGAATCGGTCTACATATATACAATTAAATCAATGTCCCGAAGTTTCTTTTGAATGTAATTTGACAAGCGCGAGCCTATCAAAGCACCCATCAATTCCAATCTGGAAATTGATAATTTTTTCAAAGGTGCTACTCGTGATTTGATGTAATGAAACTTGTCTGAATGACTCCATTTTTCTAATAACAAAAATACAGAACAGCCCCATAGGCCTTCTGACTCGCATCTGTGAAACAGTGTAACTGTAAACCATCCTTTATATCCCTTTTCCCAGCACCTGCAAACTGATGTCTGGGTATTTCCAAACTAGAAATATGAGCTAATTCATCACACCAGCTTTGCCAATTCTTTCTGAGATTTTCTGGTATTTCAGTGTCCCATGCTATCTTTTGTTCCCATAAATCTTGTAATAAAATCCTAGCTCGAATGGTGTATGGATTTAAAAACCCCAGTGGATCAAAGAAACGTCCTACAAATCTCAAGATTTCCCTTTTAGTTGGTATGTTATCTATCCTTTTGGCATCTTTTACCAACTCTTCAATTTCTATTAAAAATGTATCATTTGACCTATTCCATATGTATCCCAATACTTTAGAACAAGTCGAATCATGTGAAAAATCTTCATTCCATACCCTTTGTAAATTCGTTTCATTCGTTTCTCACTTCCGCATGTTAAATCCACCTTCTTTCAGTATGCGTTTAATATGTTCCGATTCCTCGAATGCTTCTGATTCTTCATCTGCTCCAGCGATTAAATCGTCTACATACATATTTTCAGTTAGCATGGAAAATACGTTTGGATACTGTAACTTGTATTTGTCAACTTGTACATTAAGAGTTGCTCTGAGAAGAAACGGGCTAGATGTTGCTCCAAAAATTACCCTTGTCATACGAAGAACCTTTATTTTGGTTCCATTTAATTCACCATCGTTCCATAGAAACTTGACTGCATTTCTGTCTTCATCAGCAAGAGAAATCTGCAAAAATGCTTGTTCGATGTCAGTTGTAAACGCAATTCGATTTTGACGGAACTTAAGGAGCAATTCCAGTATGTCTGGACACATCTTAGGACCTGAATGTAAACAGTCATTTAATGACAAACAATTCTCCGCATGTGACGAAGCGTCAAAACCACACACGGAGTTTTGTAGTTTCCTTGTTTTCTCTTATAACGGCTTGATGCGGCAATAAAAATACGTTTTTCGTCAAATTTCAATGTTAGTCTCTTCGGCGATTCCTTCTTTTAAGTACCTATCAATTACTTCGCGATATCTGTCATAGAACTGTTGATTATTCTGAAATCTATGACTTAAACTCTTAAATTTAATTTTAGCAATCTCCAGATTATCTCCTAGCTCATTTGAATTATGATTCCGATGAAGGCGCACAATATAACGATTGTTTCCAAACTTCACAGATCTTTTGAAATTATCGAAAACTAAATTATCTTCTAATTCGAGTTCCTTATCCGAATCATAATTTATCCCCATAGAATCGAGCTCCCAGAGATTCTTCAGCAAACTAGACAGTGATTCGTTCTGTGTATCTTTATTATTATGAACCACAACCTTCATCGTATTCACATTAGTTTGTGAAATTCCGTAAGCCCTTTCGGTTCCACTAATGGTCCAACCCAATTTTGTTTCAACTGCTACTAAGGAATTAGACAGTCTGTGAACCTTACCCATAACTATTTTCCAATAAAAATCCGCTCCTATCAACAAAGAAATTTTCGGCGGTTTATTCCCTGGTCCCCATTCATCGGAAAGTTGTATGCCCCGTTTTTTAATAACATTAACTACTTCATTTCTAAGGGAATGAATATGTGATCCATTAATGACAGGAATAATTAAAGCTTCTATTTTGATTTCATATCGATTCTTCGAATTACGCAAAATGAGCCATTTCAGGGGAATTTCTAGGGGAATGAATATGTGATCCATTAATGACAGGAATAATTACAGCTTCTATTTTGATTTCATATCGATTCTTCGAATTACGCAAAATGAACCTGGTTTTTTTAACATTCTGCGCTTCAGACGTTGTGCAACCGAAAGAGAATATTTTTATTTTTTCTTCTCTCAAATAACGGGGAAGTTTTAATTTCTTACAGATGTCCTCTCTAATAAATGTTCGCTGTCGATCCTAAATCAAACAACAAGCGAACGCTTTGCTAGCGCCAATTGCCTATGTTTATAATTTCAGCTCGTGCGGTCAGAAGAAAAGAGTTATTTGCTGTTGCGCAATCGGAAAGAGAAGAAACTACTGCCCTTTGGATGGGACTCTTGTCTGACGCATTCGTTTCGTCAGAGTGTATCAATGTATGATGTCGCTGATCGCAAATACCGCAAGTTAGTTTCGATTTGCACATCCTCGCTAAATGGTATCCTTTGAGGCACCTGAAACAAAATCCCCTTCGCCTTAACGCTTCCCTTTTTTCTGGCACAGTTTTTTGACATGATTCTGACGTATGATTTTCAGAACAGAATAAACAGCTATTAGATAGTGATGTATTTAACGCTGCCGCTGAAGGAATTCTACCCTTATTATAATCCTGATTTCTTTCGCTATCTCGAAAACGTTCTCCAAACTGCCGCTTATTTTCCAAATGGGATTTCTTTTCAGTGACTTCAGAATCTGTTGGCTTAATTAAAAATCCTGTACGTTCTCGACTATTTCTTTTCTTAGAAAATGGAGCAAATTCGTAATTTTTGTCTGATTATCATCTTCATATTTCCTATTAAATTCTAGTGCTAAATCATTCGAATCACCTTTATTAATATCGGATACAATAAGGTACTGTACGAATCTGGTAAAAAATTACACGATTCTAATCCTCTAATTTGTACTTCACAACGATCATATAATTTTCGAAGTGCTGTCACATCGCCAAGACCTTTTAACCGGAGTCAGATTTAATAAATTAATTGTTCATATGGGTATCTATTATTAGTTCTTTGCGTCCGAAGCGATATTTTAATATTTTCACAGCCTTCTCCGTAATTCTCCGCTGTTAATGTCAACCCTTGTATTGAAGTTTCTGCATCGGAAGTAAGAATTGACCTTTAAATAGTTAAATTTATATACCGCATGTAGACTTTCGTTTTCGTGTACAGCTGTCTCAAAATCGTGCCCCAAAACCCGGGCCAACTGCACACATCCTTTCCCGAAAATGCTTCCAGGTGCCAATTTGGGGAGTTTAAATTTTGTTCTGCGATTCAGTGACAGTTTCCATATGAAGTAGAATTAGCACTATGTGGATTAGTATCTAAATATCTTTTCGCGCGTAATTTCCAAATAATAATTTTACTTTTATACTCTTCTCTAGACATTATTTCATCTTCTAAATTTGCTACATCAATTAAAATTTCAATACCATTATCCGCTAAGATTAGTTCTTCTTCTTTACTAATTAACTGAGCAACCGTTTCTTCAATTACATTTCTGCCCTCCTCAATTTCTGTTTCTATTTTATTTATTAGCCTCATAACTACTGCTCTTATAGCAGATCGTTTCTTTTTTAATTTTTCTAAATCCATGTTTTTGCTTAATAAAAATTTATTAAATTTCACTTCAAATTCAACCCAATGGCCCCACGTTGGGCGCCACAATATTATTATTTTATATTCTTTATCTTACTTCTAACTAATTAATCTAGGTAAAACAAAACTGCTTACCTTATTCCAATGGGTTCGACCAGGGCCACTGGATCATTTCTTCTCAGGGACTCTTATCTGCAAATCTTGAGAGGGATAATCCATAAATGATAAACTTTCTTAACACAAACATATTTAATGAAAACGCAAACGGTTACAGAATATTTACATAATGAAAGGTTTAAATGTTCGCACGACGCAGCGTGCGACTTCTCAGTCCCGAGTTCTCGTGATCTCTAGCGAGAGTTCATAGTTCGAGATGACGTCACTCAGCCATCGGATCTCAGCAAGAGTTGAGTTGCAACAGAGGATATTCAACAGATACACAATACTGTGTCAGTATTCAGCTAGGCATATAAGAATCTGGAAAATGTAATAGTTTAATAATGCCTGTAAAAGTAAGTAGCATAAGAAGACAGATATTTGAAAAGGATTTTTTTTTCAAATAAAAAATATGTATTAATTACGGTTTCAGTAATGAAAATATGTATTTCATTGCTCATTAAAATAGTTCCAAAGATTCATCCATTTTAAACCAGTTTTAGTTATAAGAAACAGATTTTTAATCTAGTTTAACTTTATTATGTTGAAAGTCATGTATAAGGCAGTGTATCAATGATGTTAACTCACATATTTTCTAATGCATTCCATTATGTTGTTTATAATCAATCATCTGTTGATTAAATTTTCTTATTTGATATATTTCTGCATTGGTACACATCACAATCACTAATATCTGGAGAATTTTGTCACCAAAATCGACTTGATTCTTGTGTTGAGGAATTCTTTTTCCTGTGATTAATCACTGTAATTAGGAACCTTGATAAGGTATTTTTATTGTGACATAGGTTACAGAACACTGTACTGTCTGAAGCTGCCATTTATTTAGTTCTCGTTATATTGATAATTACTAAAAACAAAAGGGTATTTTTGCTGCAGTAATACCCTTGCTGCAGAATGAATATTTATTGATCTTAATTGTTTTCAGTTTCACAGTGTTTATATCTTTACAAAAATTGAAATTTGTAAGAACTGTGCGAGTTCATATTTGCTGATGTTCTGATATCCTGTATTAATGCATCTTTTTATTTTTATTTCAGAATAATATCTCATTTCATGTTAGAAGTTCCATTTCCATCAGTGCAAAGACCTAGGATTTTAATACAGGTAAATTTCTAGTGGTTTTGGTCATTTTAATGTGGGTAGTTCATTTCACTTCGATTTTAATTTGGATACATCTAAAAAATTGCTCTTTAAAATCATGAAATTAAATAAGTTCTTATGATTGCATTCCATCATAACCTTGTTAGTTCTCATCTTGTTTATTGGACAGTAGACTTCCCGTCTCTAAAGCCCATTTTTGCAGTCGTCAAAATAAAGTGGGCAAGTGAAACTGTGTAAGTAGCAGATGAAAAGAATAGACTCATAAGATATTCGAAAAAACTGTAGTTACATTTTATTGTAAATATTTCTGTAAAGCCCCCTTTTTGCAGTCTTGAAAATACCATAGGCAGTAAAACTGAATAAATAGGTGACAATATTTCACAGTTCATGGGTCATTTATTTTTAATTTAGTTTTGTTTTTTGTTGTAGTAAAACAAAACTTGGGTGATATTTTCATTGATATTTTTAGCTAAAGATCGGAAACAGATCACTGTGTACATCAGGAGAATAATAGTGGGGAAAAAAACCACAGAAAGATTTAAATAAAAATACAGGTGTTTTATTTTTTTAATGTATCATGTAATCCTTATTTAATAATTAAAATTTATATTTTAAATTTCTAAAGTATGTTTGTTGATGATGTTTAGTCACGTAATATAATTATTGATAGTTTGGGAATCTTTCTAAAAATAGGCATGACAACCACCAATTTGCACACAATAAGTAATTCTGCCTTTTCATCTGTAAAAAATTATTAAATTGTGTCAAGCTGACAGTTCTAATATTTAAGTATCAAGAAAAATAAAAATAAGTACCATATTATTTTACACATGTAAAATTTTTCTGAAATTCGTATGGAAATGGAAATATTTTAATTATGTTATTTATTGTTTCTTAAAATTAATGAATGATATTAAAAATGTTGAATTAGTTTTTATCACATTTGTATTTTTATTCTACATTATTGTTTTTCTTTGAAATAAAGTGGAAAGTCTGAAAGTTATACAGTTGTTTATGAAATAATGAAGTATTTTTGACATTAAGGGAATCAAAATTACAAAAAAGATGAATACTTGTTTGTTTGCTTTATCAAACATTTCTTTCAATGTAAGTTGTATAAGTTGCTTTTTTTTTTTTTTTTTTTTTTTTTTTTTTGCGGGGGACTAATACTTTAAGTTCCATTATTCATTCATTTCCATTAAATTGTCAGTCAAAATTTTCCATTATCAGCAACATCTCTGTCACTTTCTTCATTATTGGTAGCTATATTTTCTGGTTTAGAACTATACTACAGATTTTACCATCTTTTAGTTGATTATTGATATGGGCATTGTCATTGCAATAGAAAACTTCTGTTATAATCATCTTCATTTATTACCACTTCTCCACAAATTCCATTAACTGAAAAATTTTATTTTTTATTTACAATATCCAAAAACCTTCATATTTGTCTCTATCACTTTAAAGATTAGGTAGTTTTTGTTCACTATGCACTATTGGCAATCTTGCCTCTTATTTGTGTGCTTAAGTAGTTAAGACTGAATTCTATTTAGTTATTTATTATACTTAACATATATTTTTCACATATGCTTTTGTTTATCTGGACAGCAATTCAGTTATTCTTAAATGAAACAGCAATAAATTTAGTTATTCTTAATTCAAACAGCAATAAATTTAATCCATTGGCCGATGAATATCATTTACAAAATACATTTTTTTTCATACATTTCCGTTTTCAGTTACTAATATTTACAAAAAATATTTTACATATAACTACGTGAGTCATTTCTCAAGCTGCCATGAGTTGATAGTCATGTGGTAATGAAAGTAGTAAAAAATAAAAAAGCTGATGTGTACACCACATGACTTCCTTGTATGGAGTATTAAATTATACGATTTTTTCCTGCATTTTGTTTAAACTTTTTTCCTCGAATTTCATTAGAGATATATTTCTCGTTCAGTTAATTCAGTTCTCACTTCGCAGCAAGGCAAAAACATATAAAAACTCAAAATATTTTCACTAAAAATTGAAAGATATAGAAAAAAAAAAAAAAATAAATAAATAAATAAAATAGCAAATACAGTTGAAACAATTAAAAAATTGTTATACAATTAGAATTGTAGTTTCTTCGTAAAAACAAAAAATTCGGACTTCAAGCAAAGAGGCAGATTTTTCGATGCGAAAATCTAAAAATTTCGTATGGTCAAAAAAAAAAAAAAAAAAAAAAAAAAAAAAAACTGAAGGTGCAGAAAGACTTAATTCACTATTTTGGTAAGTTTCAAGTGTAAACAAATATGTCTGCTGTGGTTTAAAGAGAAAAAAAAAAAAAAAAGGCTTAGCCACACTTAAACAACTTGTTGATAATTCTACAACTTTTGCCTACAGATTAACTAAAGGTATAAAAACCGTAACTGAAAGATAAAAACAACATAATTAAATCATTTTTAAAGCAAAAAATGCACTATTTACCAACACATAAGAATTAAAAAAAGGGGGTTGCTCACTGAGCTGAGCAACAGATGAAATGCTGTATGATCTTAAATTCATTTAGTGCGAAAACAAGTTATTCTACTACTTGTGCAATTGCTGCAAAGTAAGTTAATAATAATTTATTTACTAAATAATATTGATTATATTATCTCCTAAGATTAATTATGGTGGAATTATCTGAAAAGAGTGAATCTATACTTAGTAAATTCTATTTCGAAAGATGTTTTGAAGTAACTTGAATGTAAATTGTTAAAAATGTTTAATGGGGACTGGAATTAAATCATGAATAACAAAATTTCAATTGTAAAAGGATTCAATTAAAAGCAAGAATTAAATTAAATGCATGTAATCATTGTCATTGATCGGAAATTAGTTGACTTTTCAAGGGGAACAAACCAACTCCCGTTCAATGAACAATAATTAAGAAATAAATACGAAGGTGTTTCGTCCTTTACTCGAGCAATAAGGCGAAGCCAAATCGCAATTCAAGTCAGGCCAAACATTTCCGTGAATAGAAGGGATCTAGAACTAATGCAGAGATCCAAAGAACTCATTCCAAGCATTTTAGCTAATTCAATTTTGAGTGAAAAGCAGTTTCTGCAGTAAAATTGATAACGCTCGAGTAACCATCCCCCGACACCCTCGTGTTTATGCATTTGAGTTCAATATTATTTGTAAAAATTAAACATTGGAAATTGTCATTATGAAATAGAATTCAAAGTAGTTGAAATAAACATTAGAAGATTACAAAAATAAGAAAAATAATGCAAATCTTTGTAAAAACAAATCAAAAAAATAAAAAATAAAAATAAAATAATAAGAAACAGTGAATGTACATGAAGATATAAAGGCCAGAAAAGGTATTAATTAACTTACATTCTTTCTAGTGGGGAAGTTGGCAAAGTGTTTCTTTTCATGTCTGACTCGGAAGGGAACATAACATGTTACAGAAAATTCTTTAGCGGCAGTGGGAGCTTTGAATAATATCAGTCGGTAAGACTTGGTGTGAAGTAATTTATGGTAGTGGGAGGGACTAGGAATTCTTGAGGAACGTGTGCTGTGTGAGTTCTTATTGAGGAAATTGTCTGTTAAAAAAATTTTTTTTTTGAAAATACTAGTGAATAGAAATTAATTAATTTCTGGCTAATTGTCGTGTCGTAATGATTGAAGAAATGATTGTAATGAGAATTGAAGAAAGGAAAAAAGGAATTTTCACTGTCATATATATATATATATATATATATATATATACACTTTTCATGCGGCCAATTGCACCCAAAATGAGAGGTGCACAACTACATTATTATAGCAGTCCTGTATACAAAATTTCAACATTCTGAGGGTACTTGTTTTTGAGTTATGCGAAATACATATGTACGCATGTACAGATGGCTAAAAAAAAAATCTCTTCTGAATCCATTTTAAATCAGTTTTACAATTTGTTTGGGGAAAAGCATCCTTTATTCTGTCCTTACATATAGATGTCACACAAAAACATCATTAAATTGGGTCATTCAAATAGGGGTCAGAATGGATATTTTGTTGAAATATGCTATCTGGAATTTTTGGTTATTACAATACTTCCTTTACTTTGTACAAGGATGTAAAAATGATTTTTCAATTTAGCATCAGGATTTTAAGTTTTCAGGTGTAAAATGAGCATTGAACTTTGGTTTGGTTAACTTTGAGATATATTCTAAACAGAAAGGTGGCTGTGGAACCAAATTATATGTCATACAAATTTATGCTAATAAATGATTGTTTCTTCAGCATTATGAGTTTTATTTGGTGCCAAAGTGAAATTAAGAATCTTTCAACACTTTATAATGAGAGACTAGAAGCAAGGCCGCATCACAGCTTTTCCTTTTATATATTTTTCATAGACAGTTTTTACTTCCTTGTACGAAGTAAAAAGGAAGTATTGTAATCGCGAAAAGTTTTAGGCAGCATATTTCAACGAAAATATCCATTTTGACCGCTATCGAATGCAATTTAACGATGTTTTTGCGGTGATATCTGTAACGTAAGGACAGAATAAAATACTCTTTTTCCTTAAAAAAAATTATAAAACTGCTTTAAAATTAATTCTGAAGAGAATTTTTCGTGGCGTCTGTACACGTATGTACGTGTACGTACGTACGTATCTCGCATAACTCAAAAACGAGTAGCCTCAGAACGTTGAAATTTTGTATATAGGACTGCTATAACATGTAGATGTGCACCTCGTATTTTGGTTGCAATCGGCCGCACCAAACGTATATAAATATATTTATATATATCCACTCTGTTACCCGGCTCAGTGATCTCAGTTTCTTTACTCTTATATTTTGTAAATTGTACATTTTTTGCTTTAAAAACTTTAAAAATGATTGAATTATGTTGTTTTTATCTTCCGGTTAAGGATTTTATGCCTTTAGTAAATCTGTGTGCAATATTTTTAGAATTATCAGCAATTTTAAAGTTGTTTAATTGCCGCTAAGCCTGTTTTAATGGCGGCCATTGATGTTTACATTTGAAACAGGAGACTAGTGGATTTGTTGCCAATCTAGAGAAACTTAGCTTCGCAACAACAAAGATAACGCATTCATTTATTATTGCCAATTAAATCATGCTTAATCCTTTCTGGAATTTTTTCGAGGAAATAAGTGTTTGAAGATTTACTTCGTAATTTTTAATATAGATATTTTGAGTTTTTATGTATTTTTGCCTTCTCGCGAAGTGAGAACTGAATTAATTGAATGAGAAATACTCAATCGTCTGTGAAAAAACTGTTTCTTTTTGTTTTGTTTTGTTTGCTTAATTTCTTTTATACATCAGTTCTAGCTTTATTATAGTATTTGAATAGAACATGTGGCAACGATTAGATAATTCTATTCTTTAAATGATATAAATTTTGTGCATTCTGAGTTATAATATGATTAAATGTATAATATGTTATATACAGTTAACTGAATATAATTATTATGTTAACGTATAATACTGTTAAGTGAATCTAGCGCCAGAGTGTCGCTATGGTAAACAAATACTAGAGTGAATTTTAAAGAATGCATTTATTCTATTGTGGTTTATGTGCTGTCGGCGAAGTAGATTTAATTCAATCCAATAAGTTTAAATGAAATGCAAGAAAAAATGCGTATAATTTAATATTCCAATACAAGGAAGTCATGTGGTGTACACATCAGATTTTTTTTTTTTAATGCCGGTGGTTTAGTCCTGTCATTCTATAATAAGCAAATATATTTTTTTTAAGACAGAGCCCAGGTAATCTGAAACATGATTAATTTGTGCCTAGCAAATCAGAAGTTGACTGTAATTTTTTATGCTTATTATATTTGGTAACTTTTTTTATTTCTTTCAGTTATCTGATTACACAATAACCCTTGCTCAGCCTGGAGATACACAGCTGCCTCTTACGTAAGTTTAATTTTTAACTCATAAATTTAATACCTATATATTATTCAAACCATGTTTTTAATTTAATATTGCAAATTTGAAGAAAATTTCTATTGTGCTTTAAGTTACTTTCAAGTTGGGGGGGGGGAAGTGGTAATTTTTATAAAAAGAGAATTATTATTTTTTCTTCATTACGAATATACCAGACATGATGCAGTATATGTGGATGGGAATACAATATCACTTTGATATCTGCAGGCAGGGCTGAATTAATGCTAAGCAGTGTAAGAACGAGCTAAACCAAAACCGAAAGAAAGAAGGAATGAACTAAAAACTGGCTAAACACACGTAGACCTACCAAAATCTTTATGGGCTTATGATCTCTAAAAGTCTTAATCTCGCCCTGTTTGCAGGGCAATAACAGAACTTACATTGAAATTTACTAATTACATGGTAAAAAAAAAAACTGAAATTTCTTGTTTATTTCCTATAATTGCTTTGTCGAGAACACCGACTAATTTGTCAATCGAAATTTTTTCGTTTTCACTAACCTCTGTTACTTTCTTCACTATCGGAAGAGAATTATAATGACGAGGAACTTGTTTAAATCATATCAAGAGGAGCACATCGAGATGAAATACTTTTGGTAAGGAATTATAACCAAAAAAAAAAACATCTGCCTGAAGATAAGGATAGTGCTGACAGATCAATTCCAATTCATTCAGCGGCGTCCCCCGCCAAGCAGCGTGAATTGATAAACAGATTTCGGATTTCAAAACATACTTTCGCTTTAGATCCTTTTTCAATTAACAAATTTTATCGGAATTCTATTTGATATAATCGAAGTTTAAGCTTACTTTTATAAAATTGCTCTACAGTCTGCAAAAAATAATAAGCCGGAGCCAATTCGAAAATTAAGGAACAACGCAATCATCAACATTAACTGAAATAGATAATTAATATTTTAGCTTATACGTCCATTATACTAAAACGCGCACTCGAAACGTATTCTGCACTGCGCCATCTATGCGCAGTCGTAAAAGGTGTTACGCGCAGCGTAAACGCCTATGCGCATGTGTCAACGCGGCGCATGCGCAGAAAGTTTTTAGTTTTGAGGTCCGGATTATAGATCATTCCGAATTATGGGTGTCCGAATTAATGACTTTTGACTGTATAATGATGCATATTCAGATTTTCTGCAAAACTGAATGACAAGGCTATTACAATATTTTGCAGCAGACACAGTTCATAATTTTTATTTTTTAGGTATTGCATCTTGGATAGCTTGCATGTTCATGTGTACTTTTCATGAAATTTTATTCTGTTCATGTTGTTTCTATTTTCTGAGAAATATTTATGCCATGGAACCCATTGCTACAGCTTTTATAACATATGCTGTGCCAGTTACTTAACATCCATGCAATGTATGATAACAGTTTTATATTGTATGCAATGTCATTGTCAGGTCCAGCTGTTAATAGAATTTTAAGTTTTATTTGAATTTTTTTAAGATGAAGCAAGTTTGCCACGATTTCTCTGCAACACTTTGTATAACATAACATTGCTTTTACTGCTATGTGTATGAGCTGCCACTGCATCTATAATATTTTTATTAACTGTCCAAGCTCCATGACAGGCTTTATCCAGTCGTGAGTTTTTTTACCACTTGGTATATATAATCTTATAATTTAAGATATTTTACTTCCTTACTTTCTTTAATAATATAAATGGCATCTTAATGAATGTGAGTTTATGAAAGTAGAGACTAAAATAAGTAAATATACAAATTTAGCTAATAAAAGCTGTTTAAATACAGATCTTAATGACACATATAAAAACTCGCACCTCTCAGAGGGTTAATAAAAAAATTATTTCAAGCAAGATAAGTGTAATTTTTTATGTCTTGATATAGGCTTTCTTCTATGAATATGTCACCTGTTGCTTTTGAGTCTAAATGTTATTGTAAAAATTTAGAAATAAGTTGGTCAGTTGCATTTAAATTTAGAGGATCTGGGGCTATAATTAGATAAAAATTACTCTAGGGAGAAAGAATTTTAAATAAATAATATAAAAATTGAGCACATATCCAGTGCTTTAAGTTATCAGTGTACTTTTCAAGGTCATTTATTAGATGGTATAATTGCTAAGTTGACTTATTTATCTTGATTGAATTGGCTTATGTTATTTATTGCACTTGAAGTGTTTTTCAGTGTGGATATAAAACCTATGCACCATAATATTTTTTCAAATAATTCTATGCAAGTAAAATAAATATTTATGCTGAAATATATTTAATTCTGTGTAATTGACATATTCCGAAAGAATCAATATGAAGATCATAGAAAAAAATAAAATATAGTAAAATTGATACAAATGTACCATTCTGTAAGAACGTCCCATACATTTTAAATCTAATTACATAAAAGAATTCTCAAATACATATGAATTTTCTTGTACATAATTACAGCATTGTGAAAATTTTGTGACATTTAACCGTTGTATGTACTAATGCCTTGTTAATGCACATGTATCCTTAACACGTTGAATGCCACGTGCATTTGCATAGTTTGCCCATGGCGCCAACATGAATTTTTGATTATTCGATGCATACTATGTTGAAATATTATCTACAGAAGATAAGGTGAGTTATGTAATTGTGTTTAATGCATTTTTCTTGGTGGGGGATCACCGCTTACTCCTGAAGGGCTGCAGACCATTTTTACAATTTATTTTTTAAATTTTTGCGATCTATTACTCTTCAAAACATTGTAGTAACAATAAAAATTTATCTGTATTGATATTTACTTTAATTTTATATTTTTACTTTTGGTCGAGTCGGCTGTCGCCCGTGGCCCCTACGGTGCTGTAGCCGAGTCGAGTGCCGGCCGCCGTTGACCCCCCACGGCAGTCAACGCGTTAAGAGTTTAAATACATGCACACACAGCAGTAATTAATTTAATATCTTTATTTTGTATCTTTAACTGATCAATATCTTCAGTGTAGTACAATAGTTTTTTTTTTTTTTTTCATTACAATAGACTTTTACTCTACTTTTCTCTCTTCTGGGATAATAATCTCCCCATTTTGTAAATATATATTCCTTTGTGATACTTTTGAGAACTGGGAGAAGTACTATTGAAATCTAGATAATAAATTTAGAGAATTACAGATTAATTTTATGAATTTTCTGATGTATTGACACTTTGATAAATTTTATTTGAGTAATCATATGCAAGTATAAAGAATTCTCTAATATTAACTCCAGTGGTTCCAATTGATTTTAGTCTACCATGGAAATGGTTGTCTTCAAGAGATAATGTTAATACTGATGTTGAATTTATGTTCACATTTGGAAGTGGCTGTTTTCGAGAGTGACTCATCATGGGAAAATTACCTGCATCCAGATAAATGAATTTACTGGGTTTATTAGTTTTCATAATATTATTTTTATTGTATAAAGAATTGTATTTTATATTGTCAATATACAAAATTTGATTAAAAACTATTCTTATAAATAATAAAATTAAGTGGTTTTTAATTTTTTTATGATTTGTGATAATGGAAATGTTTTTATTTTGTTAATTCATAACCATTTTCATGTGAAAAATGCGATTCAATAAAATTTATTTAATTTAAAATTAAATTTTGCTTAATTAAAGAACTCATTTGAAAGTGAAATACCCCCCCCACACACACACAATAAAGTCAGAGAATCTGCTTTTAAAATCTAAAAATACATATTCACAAAATTATAGTCAGAATTATGTTCTAAATTGTTTTACTTTCGACAAATTAAGTAATAACTATTAAGAGTAAATAACTGAATTGTATAATTATAATGCATTATAATAATTCTGGAATTTTCTTTTTTAGGGGAGCATCTTTTATTCAACTTTTAAGGAATTTAGGACCTGACAATTGTCTTAAAATTCTTCTGTTTGCATTGACTGAGCAAAAAATTTTGTTTCATTCATTGCGCCCTGATGTCCTTACGAGTGTTGCTGAAGCAGTAGTCATGGTAATATTATTACTTTTCAAAAGTCTTTTTGTATTGGATGTCTATCTTGTGTAGAGATATTAATTATTTTTTAACTAAATTTTATTAATTAAACAAATTATCTGAATGAACTACCATTCTGGAGTTAAATAAATGCTTCATAATTGTATGATAACAAAGCTGGAGTTTTGCAAAATTGCAATTGTAGATTATGACTACTAAATGAACATTTCAATTTCGTCTGAAGAAAATTATAAATTTTGCTGCAGAGTTTGTAATCATAAGTCACTACTTGTTGTTTATCTGGTACATGCCAACTGTCTAGAAACAATCTCTTAACATCTTTTGCATATGAAATCTGTTTTTTTAATTTCTGCCATGTGTTGTTTGGCTATTCATAAGTAAGAAGGCAAGTGATGATGTGCTGTACCACACTGCTCCTTATTCTTCCATTTTGCTGATCCCCACTAATGTTGCATTTCTTGTGTGTAGATGCCAGTACTAGAAACCAAGTTGACATTGTGTGTTGGGGGGGAAGTGGAGTAATTCATCTGAACAAGCTCATGACAATCAATCAAGAGTCACTGGTGGTATTTTATGAGGAACTGACAGGTGCTGGACAACCCAATAATTTATTTTCTATTATTTATTCATCTTCACAGGAAATAATGGTGGTATTTTTACCATTGTTTTTATGGAAAAAATTAATTCATATGTTCAACAAAATTTAATTGGGTAAGTTAATTTGTATTGGCTATTCTCAACAAATGGATTAAGTTGCAAATGCCCAGCCATTTGGAACAACAGCTATGAATTATGCAGTTGTATATATTGATAGTATCTATATTATTTGTATCTTGATTCATTCTTAACAACACATTATTCCTTTGATCTTAATACATTACTGTAATGACTGTAACTATGTCAATGCTTCTGTTCTGATGTATATAATATATATTTTAATTCTCTGCAGAATGATCAGTGTTTATCAGTATTTCTCAGAAGCAGTTGCAGTAGTTATGATCAGAAATTACTTAGTCATTTTATTGAGTGATAAAATTTAGAAAAAATGAGAGGGCTATTTTGAATTTAGTAAAAGCAAAGGTGAATTTAATTGGTAAATTTAATATGGTTTAAATATAAAATAATTTAACCGATAGAAAATAATCAAAGGCAATTATGATTAGGAGAATATTAATCATAACAGCAATGTAAGAATAGGGCAAATTGTTCCATAGAAAATGAAAATAGTTAGCAAACAAATTTAAAATTAGAAGCTTTTGTGATATTTTATTTTCAACACAGGCAATTTCATAGCAACTTACAGGCAGCTTTTATAGTTATTATTTTAAAAATGTTATAGAATTACTGATGAAGCATGTTAAAATATTCTTAGGGTGTAAAGGGCTAAAACTTGGAAGGCAGTTATAATTATTTTTGAGGAGAATAAAAAAGTTCATTTTAAATTGTAGTATCTTTTATTTTTATTTTGTTTTATTTATTTATTTTTATGTAAGGAATTATTGTATTACCTTGGATATGCTGTTGTAGTGTAAGTTGTTAAGCAAATTAAAAAAAAAAAAAAAAAAAAAAAATCACCTGACAGTATGTCATATATTGCTAAAGTGTATGAATTTGTGATTTCTGGTTTATTGAATGAAACATAAAGTACTATATATTTTATTCTTATTTAAAGTTAAATATATCATTTGAAGTTTAATCATTATCTGAGTTCACATTTTATTTCACTAGCTAATATTTCCTTTCCATTGGCAATGTCCATATATACCTCTGTGCCCACTTGGTCTGTCGGATGTTTTGTGCGCACCAGTGCCATTTTTAGTTGGTAAGTTTGAAATTGGTGAAATTGCAAATACCATATTTTACTGGCATATTTCTTTCTCTCTCTCTCTTTTTTTTTATTTACCACTTGAAAACTGGCAGGGGAAAAATATATGATGTACACAGTTTCTGAAGAAATGGCTTAATTGACAATATGGTACATTAAAACATACACATAAAGACACACGAATATTATTATATATTTTAAAGGCCTTATCAATTTCAATTATATTTTTTTTATTTACACAAAATACTTCCTATTTGTGTGTATGTTTTACATTGCTACCATAAATCAGAAGTTTCTAAATCATACGCCAAAGAAATTTAGGGGGAAAGTATAGGAGGTGGAGAAATATGCAAATAAGTATGGTATTTATCAGAATTTCATACATTGAACTGTAATTAAACTGCTTATGTAATTTGTTCCAATTCAGATTATCCTCTAAGCAATTTTGCATAGCTTTGTGTTTGCTATAAAGTCATATATTTTTTCAAAACTAAATGTAATATATTCATTATTATAGATTAAAAAAATTAGACTTTGTTCTGGAGATATTAAATAAGTAGTTTCTGTAAAGTTGAAACCAAATGATGAAATAATAAGGGAACAGTGAGAAACTTTTGAATGAGTATTTTAAAATTTAATAATATAGCATGTTTATGGATAAGCTTCAAATTTATTCTCTTTTCCAAAAAAAGACATTTTGTGCAATATAGTAAACCATAGATAAAAATAACTTGTAGTCAGTTGCTTCTTAAATGGAATTAGTTGCTCAGTAACGAAAAAAAAAAAAAAATAGTTTGAATGAATTGAACATAATTATCTCTTTCTGAAGGAGTACTGTACTCTTTAAATAGTATCCTAGTCTGAGGGAAAAAATATTGTAAATAAATTTAAACATATGTATCTCTTTCTGAAGATATCCTACTCTTTAAATAGTATCCTAGTTTAAAATAAACGTACAGAGTTTCAGAGTTTATTATAAACAGAATTTTCTTGTAACCTTTTTCATTATACTGCTGTATGAAATATGTATGATATTTTTTTATTTCACACAGGTGTCGATTCTCGATATTTTGACCTTTTTGATCCACCGCATGATGTCACTTGTGTTGATTTGGATACAAATTCTATTTTTATGTATGTATTATTTTATTAAGGTATTTTCCATAAACAAAATACATAAATGATAATCATGAATTGGTTTTAGTAAAATTACATCTAAAATTTTCTATTTAGTTCTGAAGAAAAAAGAGGTCTGAATGTGAAGCTCTTCCCCAAAGTGAGTTTTTTATTGTGGTATATTATTTGTTTTATAAAAATATGAAATATATTTGTGATATATCAAATATGCATGTTCGCATAGTTTTGGTAATTTGATAGTTTAAAAATATGTATATAAAGTTGGAGAACCTGAGAAAAATTTTATAATGTTAAAAATACACAAATTAACATAAATAGGATGATATATATAAAATACAGGATTATAAAGAAGAATCATCCGATTACAAAATTTATTATTTTCCATAATTACAAACAGAAAATTATAAATAATGTGTCATTGTAAAGGAAAAAATATTAAATTTTTTGCACAAGTGTTCAGTGTGATTTGGTCACCCATATAATATAAATACGATATGCCATTTCTTGCGAGACACATTGTAATGTTTCACTATTAACTTTTTGTAAAGCATCACAAATGCATTATTTAAGTTCAGGCAAACTTGTAGGCAAAGGTGGTATGACCTTTGACATATCCCCAAAGGCAGAAGTCACATGGGGCTAAGTCAGGTGACCTAGGAGGGTAGCTGTGTAGGCGAGCTACATTAAGACCAATCCAATGGTGTGGTAGTTCTCTGTTTAGAAATTTATGATGGGGCAGTGCACCATCTTGTTGAAGAAAGGAAATTTTGCATATGTTCCTTAAACCGAGAGAAAAGCCAAATTCTTGGATCAAATAATCTTTGTAAACAGTTTTATAGGTAAAAAGTACTGAATGTGAGAAAAAGTGTAAAACTGCTCAAAGAAATTTACAATACATTATGGAGTATAGATCACAGAAATGTCTTTAAATCGTAATATTGCAATGCCAATTAATAAATACATTGTGACTGCTCCTTTTAAGTCAGCCAGTGATACTAGTGTTTTTTTTAACATTAAGTGCATGAAAATTTTAAATGGTTAAGATTATGCATTTCCTTGCCTGTCACAGTGCTGAAAAATTATGTTATAAATTCTAACTGCTATTTAAGTAAAAATGATCTTATGAGATAAGAGTTTCAGTTTTGATGCCTTCAGTTTTTGCGCTATGTATTTTGTCAATCAGTGCTAATGGATTGTTGCAATATTGAATTCAAGAATTTTTGACCATACATATTGTTGCATGCGTATGGGTTGTAATAGATTGAATGCACACAGGTCTGGATGATAGATTGATAAATTTATTTTATCACAAGAAAAGAAGTCAGAGTTTGGAATACCCATACATGTATTCACAGAGTACAGTCAGTAGTTGCACTTAAAACTGCTAAGAACGTTAAACTGAATGCAATGAAAAGCACATCTTAAAGCAAAAGTTAGCCCTGAGATATCTCAGTACTCCGAACTCATGTTGAATGAACAACTTGCAACTTCAAAAACTAAGAGCAGATGCTCTCTCCAGTCTTATATAGTTTTCACCTGGCCGTTCAGATATTTCTAGTACTTTCTGCTTCTTGAAATTACTGAAAGGCAACATGAGGGCCAAATTACGGTTACAGCTAATATAGTGATAAATTACATTTATTAAATTACAATAACTATTATGATGATATAGGGACGAGACTAAAATGACGTCAAATGATCACCAAGTTTTGTGACTTTTGGCGATAAAATTAGCCACCAGAACTATTGTCAGCTTGGTGATACCTTGCTAAATTAGCAATATACGCATTTACTCAATGTTAAATGGACTTCCCCATGTATTCTTACTTTTCTGGTATAGCTTGGCTCTCTAGACTTTTTTTTATGTTACATTACACAGAAAAATACAACAATTTCACATACAATTGCACTAAAATCATTTATCTGTGTGCAATATTTGTGACAATTTATTCATACCAGCAAGAAATTTTTCCTTATGAACACTGTGCAAAGACACAGAAGACTTACTATTGTCACTGTGCAAAGACTTATTGTAGAGTTGTTGGCAGTTTCTTTTTGTTTTCCTACACAGTGATAATATGCACAGATTTGAAATTTGGTCAGTAATTAGCAAAGCTTCATGCTACAGAAAGAGATGTTACAGCCTACATGAGGTTTATAGGACACTAGTTGTGATGCATTATGTCACACATGCAACTGACTTAACACTTGGCATGCAGACAACGTATTTTTACGTTTTTTGCAGTCTGTCACTGGAGTGCAGGTCACATAAAAATATGTATGGCATGCAGGCAATGTATTTTTACGTTTTTTGCAGTCTGTCACTGGAGTGCGGGTCGCGTAAAAATACGCATTTAGTACATTTGTGGTGGATACCCGCTAACCACCACAAATCTAGACATTATATGGGTGTTGTTTACGTTGCTAGGCAACGCTTTGCATTTTCCTTTCAACAAGTTACGATTAGTTGAGTTACTTGGCCTTTTGTTGAGTTATTTCGTCTTCAATTCTTAGCTCCAGAACATACAAGTCATGTTTTGTCAATTTGAAGCGTGGTTTTTTTATTATTTATTAAATAAATTGATGAAATGAACCGTTGTGACAAAGATAGTGATGAAGAAATAAGCGCTGAGAGATTATCGGACTTTTCGTATGATAGTGAATCTGAAAGTCAAGATATCGAAGAAAGTGACGATGATGAATTATTCCACGTTCTCAAGTGTTCGTCCGAAGAAGAATTTCTAGTAGTTCTGAAACAACTTCTGATGAAGAAGCAGATGAATGGTCATCGATTAACAATCCTCCAGACCTTGAAGAGTTATTGGGTCATCCTGGGATAACTAACATGGCTAATGTTTCTGAATCCACAGCTGATGCAGTAAAGTTTATTTATAGGACGAATGACTTTTTTGCATATTTAGTCGTGGAATCAAACAGGTATTATTATCAAAATATGAGTCAGTTTAAAATATCTCTCCCAAAAGCATGAAATGGAGAGATATTACGATTCCGGAGATGAAGACATTTTTGGGACTTATTATTTTCATAGGACAAGTTCGTGAAGACACCTGAGACGATTAGTGGTCAACTGATGTCTGCACAAGTACAGCGTTTTTTCCAAAAACTATGTCAAGGGATAGATTTTTGCCAAATATGAAAGGCTTGGCATTTCAATAACAATGAAGACATCATGGACGATTCTGATCGATTATTCAAAGTCTTATTTTGTTGAAACTATACTAAATTATTTTGTTGAAAAATTCAATAACATTTACAAACCTGAAACAATAAGTATCATTAGATGAGGAGCATAATACTTTGGAGAGGACGATTGTTTTATTTAGAGTTTAGACAATGCTGGAAAAATTATAAAATATGGCATACTCATACGAATATTGTCTGAAAGTGATACTGTTTATATTTGCAATTTTGAAGTTTATGCAGCTCAAGGATTATGTTTGATCGAAACGACACTCACAGTAGTTTTGCCATATACTGATGTCTGGCACCATTTGTATATGGATAATTACTACAACATTTAGGTTTGGTTTCCTTAAATTCGTATTTTTTTTTTTTTTTTTTCTTCTTCCCCCTGTAGAAGGGCTTCAGCATCGATAACACGGAAGCCCTTTTACAGGGGGAAGAAGAGAAAAAAAAAAAAAAATACGAATTTGCGGAACAATTAGGAAGAATAGAGGTCTATCAGACTGCCTGAAAAAAACTAATTTGAAAAAGAAACAATCTTTTGAAGAAAAAATGATATATTGGTACAAGTTTGGCAATCCAAGAAAGAAGTCAGTCTCATCCATTCCGCAGAAATGAAAGAAAGTAGTAATGTTGATCGTATCAGGAGACAAAAAATTATAAAGCTAAATGCTTTGATCGACTACAACAAGTACATGAAAGGAGTAGATCGGGCCGATCAGTATTTGTCCTACTATAGTATTTTGCATGAAACAGTGAAGTGGACAAAGTGCTTAGTTATGTATATGATGAATTGTGCATTTTTCAATAGATATATAGTATACAATTTGACAAAGATGCAAAAAATAAAATACAAGAAATTTTTGCCTGACATCGCACGACATTGGGTTACTGATGAACCAGAGCAAATGATATCCAAATGCAACCCTCCTGGAAGAGTGTCCATGGATATGCGCAAACACATATTTCAGAAAATTCTTGGTGCCGGGAAGAAGAAAAATCCACAAAGACAATGTCGCGTGTGCGCATTAAAAAAAGTACGAAGTGAAACGTGTTTCATATGTAGCTTTTGCCTTGTTCCTCTTCATAGAAGAAAATGCTTTGAACGGTACCATGCTGTAAAGAACTATTAACGTGTTATCAGCTCTATTTGTGCTTGTTATGAAAAAATATTTTTGAATACATTGTAAAATTTTAAAAATTGTTTATTTTCATGATTTCGTAAAAATATTGTTTTTTTTTTTTTTTTTTTTTTTTCTCTTTCCTTGTTAAATAATCAGAGTTTATATTTAAGTGTAAAATAAAAAAAAGTTTCGTTCATAAAAACAAATTAGTTTTCGATTTACTGCGATTTTCTTGAATAACCATACTTCCACACGATTCACGAAAAAACGCCTGCTGCACGCTTAAGTTCGTGGCGAAGTAAAACCGCATGAAGTGTTAATAAACGTGGTTTTTCTTCCCCTCAAATTAATGATATTTGTAGTATCTACCCTTTTTCATATCAGTAATATTATGCTGTGATTTTGTTTTCAGACTTAACAATTATGTCTGTGAACGTGTTTCCTTAAAATCATATGATTATTTTTTTATAGCGTCTTATCTTGATATTCGGAAATAGAATACGAAATTGTTTTTAGTTAATCCATTATTTATTTCTTTAAATTAATTTTGGAATTTTCTAGAGTATTTTCAGGGATGAGATGAAACATTTTTTCCTGCCTTATTTGTGTTTTTTGGTAGCAGTTTCCGTGCTGTATAATTTTTTTTATTTTATCAAACAGTCCCACTCTATCTAACTTGCATTACTAACACTAATCATCATATTCCTAAATCTGTTCTTCTTTCTATTCTAATAATGTGAAAAAGATATATAAACTTTAATTCAATATTTTGTATTTATTCTTATATTTATAATGTAATACATTGTAGAGATATTGAATATTATTAGAATTGTTATTAGTAAGATTTTCTCAGTATTGTTAGTTTCATTTAATTCCTTAGAATATATAAAAGTCATCCTTTAATAAACTAATAATACTCTGTACAGTGGTAATAAACTATCTGTAATTTTATAGCGTTCTGCCAGGATACTACGTAATACTCTGCAGTCTTTGTATGAAAAACTGGGATCCGTTCGTACTAATGCATCTTCTTCATTACTTTTAGCGACTAACTCTGCATTGATTGATTATGATTTTAAAGCTAAGAAAAAAGAGGTAAGTGCATTTGAGATGAATAATTTTCTAAATGTTTGCAAAATTTGAAGAATTGTGTTACGAAGAATGATAGTTTTCATAGGAATTTAAGTTTCAGACCAAAATATTAGAAACTCATTAAAGCCTGCTTTTATATTTGACCATGGATTTATAAAAGTTATGATGTTCTTGTTCATGATGACTATCTGGCTGCCTTTGTTGGCCTTTGAAATTATATCTAGGATAGAATGAATTTCGCGCATTATAGCTCTTTCTCTCACATTTAGGTTTGGTTTCAAAAACTAACTGTGTTTCACATTTGAAAAGAAAATTTCTGTTCTACTTAACGACCCTAATTCCAATCCATTTTTACCATCAGCCTTTAAGAAAATTATGTTCAAGTTTTCTTGTTTCATCAAAAGATGTTGCCAGTAGTTTGACTTCTTTCCAGTTATCTTATCACCATATTCTATCTTGTTCAATTGCACTTTGGCAGCTGAAGATGATTTTGTATTTAAACCATCAAATCTAGTCCTGCAAAATTTTCAAACATTACGCTGATTCTTGTTGCTTATCTTCTCTTACAATTGTCATTCACCATGCTATTTTAATCAAAATAAGTTCATTGAAGATTGGAATAAACTATGCAAAAAATTGTAACCAGGGTAATTTTCTTTATAAACATGTGTGCACACGCACACACACAAAAGTAACAATTACATTACCAAAATGTAATCAAAGACTTTTATCGTCAGAAATCTTCTCCAAAAAAATATGTGCTAAGACAGTAAGTACCAGAAAAAAAGGTCACTTGATCAAAATTGATTTTGATCAGAAGTTCACAAACCTATCTGCTTGAAAATATTTATTTAAGTTTTAATATTATATTATTTATTGCTTGTACATGTTGCTGTCAATATTATTATGCTTAAATTATTACTTTTCTTTATAAGCGTCAACTAGAGTTGGAAATCCAAGAGGCATTTTTGCGTTTCATGTCATCCATTTTAAAGGGGTATCGCTCTTTCTTGTTGCCAATCACAACAGCTCCAACAATTGGAACAACTGATCCTAACTCCCTATTTGATTTATCAGGTATGGTGGAATTTGATATCTAAAAACTTAATTCTTGTACATGTTTTTAAGTAGTGTTTTTAAACTTTGTCATAAAATCGGTTGAGTAAAGTAAAAATATCAATGGTAAATTGATATTTTTTTAGAATTAAGAAATAATGTGAACAAAATTTTGATGAAAAATTTTTGAAAGAAGTTAATGATGTTGTCACCTGCCAAAAACATAACTTAATATTTCAAAAATTCATTATTCTGAATTTTATTTTTTGTACTTTAAATCAAAATCATACTTGCATTATTTTATTGATTCACATTTTAAGATATTATAAGATAAGTAAGTGAAATGTGTCAGTCTGGACATTTTAAACTTTCTAGTTTTTCATATTTCAAGGTTGATAGCGATGAATTTCTGTAAAAGTTTTTTTTTTTTCCCAGAAATCTGCAATATATTTTACTCGTGGACAGCACATAAATGCAAATTTATATGAATTCTTCTTTTTTAAAACTACTGTTTTACAAAATTTTCAACAAATTATTAAATCTGAATTTAATCCCAAAATTTCTTTTTCTAGGTTTCCTTCGAAGTCGCGATAAGGCATATAGTCGATTTTATTCCATGATGATGAAGACTCAAATGTTTATTCGCTTTATTGAGGAACGGTCATTTGTGTCTGATAAAGATGCCAGCTTAGCTTTCTTTGATGAATGCACAGAAAAAATAGATTCTGCGGAGAGTAGTGATACTAAATTTCTTGAAATTGATGAGTCTCACATGAGTGATCGAACAGTATTTGTGGCTCCTCCTGAGCCAGTTGGTTTGCCGCCTGGTTTAGAATATAGGTATAAACAATTTGGAACATTAAAACCTCAACTGTTTCACAAAAATCCGGCCAAGTCTCTTTTAAATTTAATTGCTCAAGCTAGTCCAATGCCCAGTAGTCCAATGGCTCGACGAACTAAGCAGGAAATAAGAAGTGCTCAAAAAGTAATTGATGAAATTTTTTTTAATAATTTTTAATGGTCATAATATATTTAATTATTTATTTTAAGTTATTAAATATAATTCCAAGTTTAATGTAATTATTGCATTCATTTGGACATCAGTTCATTTTATGCATATGATTGGAAACTTAATGGCTTGAAATTGTTATTTCATAAACATTTAACATACATTTGTAAGCATGCATTTCAGTAAAAATTGATATGTATTTTAGATATCTGTAATAACTGAATTTTTTTTCCCCAAAATCCCCTGAATAAAAATTTTACGTTTCTATGTGTTAATTATGTCATAAAAACCTGCAAGCAAATTTTAAGTTTAGTGATTTTTAATAACCACTAATTCAGTGTGGAAAAATATATTTTGCATTGTAGAAGTATTTTAACTGCTTTTAATGTTTATTTGAATCTTGTAATTTCAGGTAATGCAGAAGTGTTTTGAATCATAAAGTATAAACCTGTTTTTTAGATATGATGAATTCTGAAGAATCCTTGTATTTGATTTTATAGGCGGTTAAATTAGTTACGTTTTAAAAATGTTTGAGAAGTGTTTTTGAATGATTAATAAATTCAAAATTTCACTATGAATAAAATCTAAACTGTAAAGTAAAAAGAAATAACTTAGATATATGTTTGTTACTCCATAGATAAAGGATCAAATTAATTGAAATTAACCGGTTTGTTAAGTAGAAGAATTTTATATTAAACCCGAGTAGAAAGGAAATTATAGTGGTATATATAAGGATATTTTCTTTGAATTGTCTAAATATTATTTTGTCATTATGCACTTAAGGTACAGCAAAGTACCCGAGAGTTATCTCTTTCAAAAATGGTGTACGTTGCTGAAACCTCCAAACATCATAATTTATTTTGTTCAAAGAATGAAAGGAAAAAGCATTTCCTTTTGTTCAATAATTGAAATTGTAAAATTTAGTGGCAGTAATTCTAAATGATTTGTGATGCACCAAGTGTGTTACCATTACACCACGAAGACATTCTGGAAGGAGGGAGAAAATACCTTGTATACTCTCCCTTTTAAAGGGCAACTGGGGATTAAGGGATCCAATTGCCAAATTATCGAATTATCTGTGATGAATTATCGTTCACCACCTTTTAGTTTGCTTGCCACTGTAGAGTCATTTGGTTATTTTGAAGCAGGAGACGTGAAAAATGTACAGTGCCTTTGCCGAGACTCGAACTTGGACTTCTTGAATACACACGTCGAGTCTGCTACCATTACACCACAATGGCATGTTGGAAGAAGAAGGGAGAAAATACCTTATAAGTAAATAAATAAATTAAATTAAGAAAATATACCCACATAATTAAAGATATTGAACAGAGAAGGGGTTTAAGTACATGTATTTTTTAGCATAATGTTACAGTTAAAACATGCAGATTCTCCTTGTAAAGGAACATAAAGAATTCCAGAGGGAAACTTCTTTTGATGAGAAGAGAACACAAATAGTCTGTGCCTGCTGGAACCATAAAAAATCTGAAGAAACAGCAAGAGGTCTTAGCCATAACCAAGCAATGATTTCCTAATCTAGCAGAGAACTGCTGCTCCACAAACCTTTTCCCTAACCCCAGTAACATCGGCGAGTTCCCTAATCCCAGTAACTCTGGTGAGTTCCCCAATCCTGCTGAGTAACCCCAGTAAATTGCTGAGGGTGATAATGCCACACACTTACTGAGGACTATTTTGAAGAAGAGGGAGAAGAAAACCGATTTTGATAGTTTTTTGAACCAGCTGAGTTTTCCATTTCTATTGTAAAACTGGTAACTAAAATACAACTATAGTATGTTACACCTTGTTTTAACTCAGTATGAGGCAGAAGGAGTGGGTTTGAAAAGTGCTGTGTTTTAGGGACTTGAAGTATTTCATTGATGCAAAGCTTTGCTTTCCTTCATCCAATTCCAGAAACATGAGCTTTTCATCAACCAGAGCATGAATGTAGGAATGTAAGCTGATTTCTCCAGCCTAGAGAGATCTTAATAAAAAATCTGGTTCATAAGGCCCTGTTTCCCCGAGATGAAGCTTATTGAATACAAATCTCATTGAACACATTAAATGATTTAAGGGAATGGAAGACTTCTTAAAACAGACTAAACTGAATTGAAAAAGCTGAAATTGTAAATATACTTAGAGTATGTAAGCAATTTTATTACTAATAAATTAATTTCCTAATATTTCCAATACTGATGATTTTTTTATATTCACTGAATGTTCTGTATGTTACTTTTTATGATTTTGGACTGAATACAATCAAAATTTAAATTATTTCTCTTATAAACTATAAGAAAAGCATCCCACATTATGGCCAGTTTTAATAATGAATGCCATCATAGAATAAAATATGTTTTGTTGTCCAAGGCATCAATTACTGCATTATAATTTAGACACTTCTGTTCTTAGATAGCTCTATCTGCTTTACTTTATATTTTATTTAATTCTGCATTTAAATGTATTTTATACTTTTTTATTTTTCACTGTCCCACCAATTTATTTCATTTATGTAAACATTTTTAGATTGCAAGAAAACATTCTGAAACTCCTGTGATGTGGGCAAAGTAATGTTATTTTCAAATTACAACTTAGTGTAGTATTTTTGATTAACTCTTTTTTTATTTTTATAAATATCCCTGGTCCGATATTTTTCTCTAATTAGAATATTTTTTATTTCAGATGTTTGGTTGGATATTGCTTCAGTTTGTGGTTTATTCATTTGCCCTCCTTTTTAAAAACTGCATCTTCCAAAAGCAGTGCTTTGAGGTTAGCATTTGATGTTCTTGTGAGAATGCAGCGGTACAAAATCAGCCAACCTGATGAAGTAAGTAAGCTTTTGTGAACTAATTATGACATTTTTCTTATATGGTTGAATTTATATAACATGTATCTACTTAATCTGCCAATGCCTGTAATCTGCATTCAGTTCTGAAAGTAAATTCGGTTTTGATTGAAAGTTCTATTTTAAAATAATTCAGTGTGCAAATTTAATGGTAATTAAATTTTTTTTTCTTATATGTATTTGGAAATGAGGTTTTCAATAAAAATATTCTGTATTTATAACATATCTTGATTAAAGAACCCAAATTATTTCATTATCAAAGTTATTTAACATTTTTTTGTGCCCACATCAGCATGCTATTTGTAATAAACACAGATTATAAATCACAGCAAATTTTTTATTTTTATAAACCCTTACCTTCAGATAAATATATTATTGTTTTTTAGTATTAGTTTTGAATTTATTTGGTTTATGAATTTAAAATGTGACATACGCCAAGGATTTATCTGTCCACAGTTTCTCCTGATATTGCGTTCAAACCCAGCATTTAATAACTAGTTTGTTTACATTCACAGCAATAAGCAAGTGTGTTTACGATAGTGAGTGAATAGTAATAGATTCATGAAAATAACTCTTGTAAAAGTTTTTGTGGCATTAAAAATGAGGAACAAGATGAAGGGCTGAAGAGTAGAAAAATTTTGTTTCAATTAATCCAGAATTTCAGTTATAGTGCTTTAGAGTTATTCATTCAATTGAAATGTATCAAATGTAATGGCAGAATTAGAGTAGGAATTCAATTTTAGGAAGTCCTTGCTTTTGGAGGTTTCATAAATTGTACATTTGTTTATTTTTTCTCTTGTTTAATTGTATAACTATTACTTTTAAAGTAGTTTCATTGATGAATGAATAGTTTTTTATATAAAATTCTTTCATGCATATTTACAAAAAGAGTTCTGTAATTTCAGAGAAAAATTCTTTTTTTATTCATCAACTACATTTTTCTGTTGCACTGATATTCTTTCTTTGTATATAATTATAATTTTAAAAATATAATTGTTTTACATTCAAAAAATCTTAGTTAAATAATTTTTAAGCTGTGAGTATCTTTAGTTAGGTATATATGTGCAAAGTAAAACTTAGGAAGACGGGATAAGTAATTCATGAAATTCTCTAATTTACACAACTCTTAATCCTTAGATGTGCAGATTATGGAAATCCTACTGGGTAATAAATATGGTTTTAAAAGAAAATATATTCTTTATTTTCTCCTTTTTTAATCACATTTTCACTTTTTTTTTTTTTTTTTTTTTTTTTTATGTTAGGTCTGTTACAGAGTGCTGATGTTGTTATGTGGATTATATAGTCAGCCAACTTTAGCAGTTAAAGTTTTGTTTGAAATGAAACGTCATGGAGTTCAACCAAATGCCATAACTTATGGCTATTATAACAAAGTAAGTCTCATGTTTAAATAACATTCAGTTTTATGCCACATGATAAGAGATTAATGTATCATGTTATAAATTTATAGTTGAAATCCTTTGGATTCCTTTTCATCGGTTAGAACATAGTTTCATAACATTAATGTTATTGCTTGCCAGTTAAGCACTGGGTTCTAGAGAAGCATTAGTGTTCTGAATGGCTTTAAAAAACAAGCAGGCAATAAGAACGTGCTTGAAGAACTTAGTTGTTTGAACACTTTTGAAACAGACATTTCAACATTAACTCAATTATGCAAATATTACAAGCATGCATCTTTATAAAAATCATGCAAGTCGTAAATAAGCTGGTTGAAGTTTCATGTAATTTTATGTATTTATTTTTTATTTCTAGGAATGCAGCTATTAATTATCAGTCTAACATTTTAAAAACCTGACCACATGTGAGATACTTAGTGATATCCAATGCTCACAAGTACCCCACCCTTTTTACTTTTAATATATACTGTGGAATATGCTATGGAAGGAATTTGTGCATGGTTTGTCAAGTTTCTAATCATTACCATTCTGTTTTTGTACTGCATGTTTCAAGTGTAGTAAATACACAAAAAATTTAAGCAATTTTGGTCAGTGCTCAAAAATTATATTCAAAAAACTTCATATCATGTTACAGTTTGGAGTATTGAGGGTGGAATGTTGGATAAGTAATAATATATTCTTAATTATTTAATCTATCATATAATTTTTTTGGATCGAATTATTTTGATCTCATATATAAGCTGTCTCTCAAACTTCAATAGAAAGAAATTTACAAAAATTCTTAACTTGCACATGGACTTGCATATATTCCTTCGACTCTGTAATGTCCACCTGATAGAGCATCATGGTGCTCTTTTAGTATTCTTTCTCATTCATTAGGGATTCCTTTTCATCCTACTAACTGAACATACTTTGTATTCTTAGTGAGTTATATATATATTAAAAAAAATGGTTCATTAGATAACCTTGACTACTCCAATTATTGAAATTCTCATCTTTAGTGGGACTTTCCAAAGATTCAGTAATTTTCCTAATATTTTGGTTCTTCAGTTGCATCAAATTTTTCTAATTTTTCTTGGGCTTCATGCAAGTCTTTCGATAGTGACAGTGCAAATCTGGCACAGTTCTTTTTTATGTTGACAGAACAGTTGGGGCAGCATATCTGCACCAGTATTAGCTTTGGGGCAGTCATGGGAATTATGGCATAATTTACCTTAGCTAAAACATTTATGATCATCTTGTTGACAGTCTTTAGATATATGGTCACATTTGCCAACAGTTACAATCGAATTGTCGTTCCATCGAACAAAATTTTTTAATTTCTTTTCATACTGGAAATCATAATAACCCTATCTTTCTTACGAACATATTTTGCAGTTTCTAGTGGACACATTTGTATGCGGTTTTCCTGAATTATTTCTATATCACTGAAACCTTTATTTTTTAGATGACAGAGAAGCTGAAATTATGTAAAAAATTTATAAAAATAAATAGCATGATTGGCGGGAGTTTCAACAACACTGAGCAAATTTATAACCACACTTCCTCCAAGCCCAAATTCTTCATATTCTGGTAATTTGGGAGCTGTTGACTTACCCAAATAAATATGGAAATGAAACACATACCCATTAGACACCGCCAAAGTCCATGCTTTGTATCCAACTCTTATAAGTTTCCCTTTTAAAAACCTCTTTGATGAATGTTTGCCTTGATAAGGAATCATTTGCTCATCAATACTGAGATCGTAGAAAAATCTACCAAATTGTTGGAATTTCTTATTTAGTAAGTTTAGATACAGTCTCACCTTATATAATTTATCAGTATTTTCAATTTGACTATTGTCAGCTAAATGCAAATTCTGTTTCTGTTTCTGCTAAATGCAAATTCTGTTTCATATTGCTGTACTGCAAACGTGACATCGATTCTCGTACAATAGGAACAGAAATGTCCTTATCAAGAGACCAATACATTTCTTCTTGAGGTAAAGAATGATATCCTGTAAGTAATAATATTCCAATAAATTTTCTCACATAGGCTTCAGATGCAATAAACTTAGGGCAGTTCCCCCCCCCCCCCCCGAGCGTATATATTTCTCTATTCAACGAGAAGAAAGTAAACGTCTGAACAAAAATAAATAAATAAATAAATAAATCTCTCCACTAGTTTTACCTTGTATTTTGTCTTTTGTAGTTTCTCTTCTATACCTTTCTCCGTTTTCTTCCTAAGACATAACTGATGGTTCCTTTTTTATCCATTTCAAGTTTTCAGTTTTTTTAATTTTTTTGTATGACTACCACTGCTTTTAGAAGGCTGAAACTTCTTACGTGAATTTCAACTTCCCTAGCAGGATCATTTGGTAAAATATTATAATCATTATTTAAAACAGTGTCATTCTCTTTATCTTCATCACTAGCTTCTGCAATTTCTGGGGGAACAACAACAATATCAGTTTCATTCTGGTCGTTATTAACATTATCATCATCTATTTCTTCATCAAAAAACCTTTGAAGGGCTTTTTCTAAAAGATTCCTTGTTCTAGGCATTTTTAAAGCAGCCAGAACATCGAAAGGAATGAGTAAAAAAGGAGATTACCCATTTCCTGCTGACGTTGTGTCAGCGCAACACCTTTTTTCCCTTCCTTCACAACAGAAATATAAACATCTAATTGATGTAATGTACTGATAAATGGTGACCTTGACTAAAAATAGATCACTCATAACGACGACTATTCTTTCGTTAAATACTTTCGGCAAAAATACCCAGTTGAAAATTTTGCTTAAAGTATGAGATTAATTATTATAAACAAAATGCGTGTTGAAGGCAAATATTCTTTTACAGAAATAATCTTCATAATATTCCCTATACAAAATCATCCGCTGGTATAAAATATCTTAGGTAGTTATATTTATATACGTATTTATTTTGACCGTTGTGTCAACGCAACACCAGCGGTTAATGGGTTACAGTAGATGCATTTCTAAGCCATACCTGCAAAAAATTAAAGTTTTTTATTCAAAATTTCCAAAGATATACGTGAATTTATATATTGGCGCGTTTTAAAATTTGGCATATTTCTTGAAAGCGATAAAACATCAAATGTGGCCTAGGCAGTTTGCTAAAATTGTTTGAAAGTAAGAACGATGTGAATTTTTTTCCACTTCTGCACAATGTAAAAAGATTGGAATGAGGTGCCTTCCTCCCCTCCTCCGGCTCAATGGAAGAGAAAGGAAAATTGGTTGTTATGTATTAAGAAGTTCGCCAAGTGAATTATTCTTGACACAAACTGAAAAAAATTACGCCAAGATAAAGTTTTGAATTTCTCTGTAAATTTCGCAACAAATTTTACCAAATTTAATATCTAGGCATAATTTGAGTCATATAATCAAAATATGAAAAAAATTGGTATTTTATTTCAGAAAAAGTCCAGTTTTGTTTTAGAATATCTATGTTAGAACGATGCTATATATAAATCTAATACATATCCTAAGTCAGGTTTCGAGACATGAGAAACACAATTTGAATTTTGTCAGTCGGCCCAGTAAAATAACAGATATACAAGGTCTGGCTATTAATTTCCAGGACTCGTGGAATAACTCAGAAGGAAAAAAGGTTAAACACATAGCCATTTAATATGATTCAAAGTAATCCCCATCAGCTGTAATGCACGTCTGTGCTCGGCTGTGCAAATTTTGGGAAAAAATTTTAAAGTCCTCTTTTGGAATGCTCTTTAATAGTGACGCTACAGTTTTCTTGATGGCTTCGACATCCTGAAATCTTGTTCCCTTCAGTGAATTTTTCAGCTTAGGAAACAGGAAAAAGTCTGCGGGAACCCGCAGACTTTTTAAATTGCATAAATAAATCTCTCCACTAGTTTTACCTTTTCCCTTCCTTCACAACAGAGTTATAAACATCTAATTGATGTAATGTACTGATAAATGGTGACCTTGACTAAAAATAGATCACTCATAAAGACGACTATAAAGACTCTGAGGTCTAGGGAGTATGGTGGATGCTGCATTTCAACGACACCATGCTGGGCTAAGAATCTCCTCACAGGCAACACAGTGTGTGGGCAGGCATTGTCATGTAGCGGCAGCCAACTCCCATTTTGTTGAAAATGAGGCCTCACTCTACAAATTTGTTTTCAGTCAAGAACTTTTGTGTAGAACTGTCCATTGATAAGTCATGTTAAGAGGAAGAAATTCATGATGAATGAGTCCATCGCATTGAAAAAAGCAATCAACATGACCTTGATTTTGGACTTTTCTAACTGAAATTTTTTCTGCCTTGGTGAACTTGGAGACTGCCATTCGGAGCTTTGACACTTGGTTCAGGGTCGTATTGATAACACCAAGACTCGTCTCCCGTGATTATCCTATCCAGGAATGCAGAGTCAGCATCAGCATTGTCGATACGTTTGCCACATGCGTCCAGTCTCAATTGCTTTTGTTCGTCCCTTAAATGGTGAGGAACGAATCTGGAACAAATCTTGCATTTGCCTAGGTCTTGTGTCAAAATTCGCCGAACCGTCTCTTTTTCTCTTTCAATTCTTTGGCAAGTACTCGAATAGTCAATTGACGATCACATTTCACCATGTCGTGAACTTTTTCAGTTGCTTTCGGCATGAGTACAGACTTCGGCCGACCTGTGTGTGTGGATCATCTTTGATGCTATCGTGCCCGTCCCGAAAGTGTTTAAACCATTCAAAAGTTCTTGAGCGGGATAATGCTTCCTTCCCGTAAACTTTTTTTAACATTTCGTAGGTTTCCACAGATGTCTTGCCCAATTTGAAGCAAAGTTTAATGTTAATTCTTTGCTCCATTTTCACTTCGACAATAGGAATTTAAGAGCTACATTTTAATGCTCATTTCCACGAAAACACTTACTTCAGAATGGTGCCGATTGCACTGCACATGCACGAGAAAGCGCTCTTCAATATGCAATCATTAGCACCATCTTCCGACTTTTCGTTCTCCTATAATTATGTCAGTCCTGGAAATTAATAGCTGGACCTTGTAGAACTGTTTCCTTTTTTTTTCGGGGGGGAGGGGAGTGTACCTTTGTAATTTGTTTCCTGCTGATTCTCCTATTGTAATATTAGCCATATCAAGAGCAGCTGGTAAAATAAGTTCTTATATGATGACGTGAGGTTTCTTGCATTTGCAGTGAGGTAGGGTGAATGGTCTCCAGATGTTGTTTTAGTTTACTTGGAAGCATACTCTTGGACGAAAGAATTTTCAACTAGAGCACACATTGTGGTCTTTCTTTATTATTTTACTTCTATTGAAATAAAGCCAAATAGCTGACATTGTATTTACGATATTTCCACCTTTTTGCTCCCCAACTGCTTGTCGAGGCTTGATCACTCCGACTTGAACTATCCACTTGCTTATTTAATAAAAATGTTTCCATTTTACTAACTTTTGATAAAAATACAAAACATCACATTTAAGACAAAACAACCAAACTGCTCTCATACATATGCTTAAATAGGTATTATAATGTATATCTGTCCTTGGTTTGTAAATCGCAATCCTCTGCATCACTACCAAGAACACTTTATTACTATTTCTATTTAACTTAACAATTTAACTGCTTATGCTTACAATAAACTAATTTGCCAATGTGGCTTATGGCGGTTTATGTACTACTACCAATGAGTGCTCGCAACAGCTCCAGTCGATACAACATGACAATCGAATGCAGGCTTCTGGAAATCTTTTGCATTGTCTAGCTAAGAATTCATCATTGCAAAACCCAACCCAAATTCCATACGTGGGAGGAGAGTGGTGCTGTCAGTTTCCAGTTTATGCAGCACATGCGATTTGAATTTAGATTTCGTAAAAAAGTACACAGGAGCAGTGTGCCGAGCCGCACACTTTGGGAATCCCTAGTTATAAGAACAGATAGTCCGGCCAACAGTGCATAATGCATCAAGAAATTCCTAGAAATGTAGTTGGTGAAAGCATTTTTTTTATCAGTGCTGTCAAATATCTTAACATGGTATTAAAAATATATGTATTTATGAGAAATTGTTTTGACATAGTATATTATATATGTATTTATTAGAAATTATATTTTTAGGCAGTACTGGAAAGCAAATGGCCTGCAGCTGATACAAGCAGTACTCTGATGTGGAATCGATTGCGAAATGTGATAATTGGAATTGCACAGTTTCGGCAAGGGCTAAAAAACAAAGCAAGACGCTCTCTGTCTTTGTGTTCTGAAAGTGAGTTAGATCGTATTAGCAGGACAAGTACTGAAAGCAGCAATCCCGATGATGTGACTCTTGTGAGAATTAGTAATCCGGCTGAATTTGTTCCAGATCTTATCAAGCTGTCTGATGATCAAAATAACTCAGGTATTTTTTTTAATATTTTATATTAATATATTATTTTTGAAAGAGCCCCACATTATAATTCATATTAAGTATCTTGTTTGCAACTTTTGTTAAGTTAATGAATACTTTGGACCACAATTATAGTTATTTTAGGTGATATTTTTTAGCATAAAATATGTATATGATTGCATAGCAATGCATATGATCTGACATCTTTCACACACATTATATCTCAACACTCTTAATTTGTAATTTAATTGATTCAGCTAAGGATGCCAGATATCTCAATGAACAACAAATCTTGTATGCAAATAGGTCTTGTATATTTAAGTAATGCATATGCTGTTTCAGGATCCAAACTAAAGAAAGTATAATTAATGCCAAAAGAGACGTCACTGAAGCAGTTATGAAATTCAGAACCAGACATCTTAAGAAAACAAGAATTGGTCAGGAAAGCGCAAGAACATACACATATTGTGGAAATATCCCTGATACTGAATGTGATGTACTGAATATACTCTAAAAGAAGGGCTATTAATTTCATTTGGGGGTGTTTCATTATAAATGGCATTTCACTTTTCAAATTGTTGCCACCAAATATTATCTCCATGTATTATATTTAAAGAAATTAAATAATGAATAATCTGCATAAATGTATGTATGTTTCTCACATTGTGATAAAACAATGGTACCTAGAGCCATCCAATTTTGAATAACAGAGGTCTCCACGCGAATATGGGCATCTGGAAGCCCGAATTTGGAATTTGTTTTTATTATCTGTTTCATGTTTTGTGAAGCAGTTATGAGTTTTTGATTAAGAAACTGAACTGAATGAAGCGAGCAATAGCAACACTGTGTGGGGGGTGTGAACATTTTTATCTCCAGCTCGCGAGACTGCATATCGGAAATTCTAAATATATGTTCTTTTAAAATTATTTTGTGATATTGCTGTTGAATTGAATTTTTATGGTTTAAGTGTGAATAACATGATATTTGATACATAAAACGAGGGGGGGACCTTTAGATGTAATGTAAAATCTGAAATCTTTCAGTTTTTTTTTTTTTTTTTTTTTTTTATTATTGTGTTCTTTTTATTTTATTTATCATTACATACCAAATCACTCAAAATCAAATAAGCAAAAAGTAGACCTCAAATGTTGTGCTTTTAAAGCAGAATGTAGTGCCAGTTATTTTGTCATAGAATTAAATGACAAAGTTTTATGTTTAATATGCAGTGACATGTGCGAAAAGAGTACAATATACATTATCATTATGAAACTAAGCAGGCAACACGGTATTCAGACGTTGCAGAAAGTGGATGATCATTAAAATTGGAAAATGTAAACCAGAATGCCTCATTACAATACAATTTTTTGTAAAAATCAAAAATGCTATTGAAGCAGTAACTAAAGTCAGCTTACAAATAGCTCATTTATTAGCCACGAAAAGGAAATCATTTAGCAATGGTGAATTAATTAAATTATGTTTGCTTGTAGCAGGCAAAAAAATGTAGCCAGAAAAAATAGTTTTGTTTTGATATCTCAGTCTTTCAGCGAGAACAAGTATTCATAGGCTTAAGGACTTTGGAACAGACTTAAGCCACATCAATAGTCATTCAAAAGACAAGGCAAAAAATTTCAAATAGTTTTTATTTGCTGTTGGTAAATTGACAAATATTAATGATTCTGCCTTGTTGCTGCCGTTTATTCAGGTCTATTCTGAATTTGAGTTGATTTAAGAATTAGCTTTTATGAATAGTCTCCAGGGAACAACAAGAAGTGAAAATATCTTCAAGCAAGTCAAGAAAACACTAACACAATAAATACAGTTTACAAGTTTACAATGGAATCACTTAAAATGTATCACAACTTATGGTGGATAAAATATATTTGGAAAGGAGAAAGGATTAGTTGTACAAATTTTTAAGGCTTGTGAAGATGCTAAATGTTTAAAACATCTGGTAATTCAATTGTATTATTCACCAGCAAGCTCTTTGTAGAAACATCTCAATCTGTCATGTGTTTTTGAACCAGTACTTTTTTCAGTAATACTATTAAACTAGTCTTTGTATCAGCAGTAAACTTCGTTCTCTGTCGTAGCTTCGTGAATCACCAGCTTCGTGAATTTATATTAGAGATCAAGGCTGAATATCCTGATAGAAGTCATAGATATATTTTTTTAAATGAGAAAAATTGCCCATGACCTTTATTATCATTCACTGATTAGCTATGGAAAGCATTTGTCACAGATATTATGGCATATCTTAAGGAATTCAATTTCAAATTGCAAGGAAAAACAGTACTCATATGTGAAATATATTCTATCATAAAAGCATATCACTGAGAATTTGCATTGTTTGAAATGCAAATAATATTAAACAAATTTGACCATTAACCATACTGTAAAGAATTTCAAATATTAGGAAAATCTGCATTCCCCCCAAAAAATACATGCAGGATATAGCTTCTGAACTTGCACTACAGTTACCAAAGCATTTTGTAGATCTTGATGCAAGTACAAAAGATATTTCCATGTTTCAAAATCTGTTTGATTGTATAGTATATGATTGCATGGTAAGTAGTTTCCAACAGACCTTCAAATGGAAGTGATTGATTTTTGAAATTATACATTTGTTAAAACTGGTATTTAAAGAAAAGGATCTAACTCAGTTTTATAAATATCTTATGTATACTCAGTTAAAATTATATGCATGGAGCAAAAAGACATTTTTAAAAATTAAATATGTAAAATCAGAATTAATATACATATCACCAGCTGCAAACAACTTTATTGGCAGGATGTACTAATTTTGAACATTTAATTGATGAAATATTCTCTCAAAAACAATTATTTTCTTTGGATTAGAAATTTTATTCTGTTTAATAAAAACATCATAATAATTCAGAGTCCTTCTATTCCTAACTTCATCGTTGCTCCCATCTTGTGTCTCCCCTAGAAGTGGTCAAGTGATCTTGCGTTTTCTCACTGGTGAGCATATTGCCATTCTTACATAAAAAAGAAGCATTTCACCATATATATGTAAATGATAAAACAACAGGTTTCAATGTAATGATGTAGAAGCATTGATGGCATAGAGCATAGAATGTTGAATGTCATAATGAACAGCAAACTTGGTAGCTGAGGGAAATTAAGTATTCATCTTAATTTCAATTGACATTTGTGGCCACAATTTACTTGGCACTCTAATCGTGCAAATCAAGAACATTTATATATTTTATAATGCTGCAAAAGGAAGAGGGTAGCATCTTAATGAGAACAGAGGTAGAAGCTAAGTGCACAGTTATCCAGTATGGAAGCTCACCTGTAGAAAAGTTTCAGTTCTCGAAATTTGAGTTCAAGTTCCAAATCAGCAACATCATCAGCTTTATGCAAGTTATATGATATGGACTGATCTAGAAATGACACAGTCAAGAAATAGTTATAAATATTTTTGGAATAGAGAGAGGAAGTAACCAACTTAAAAAGGAGGAATTATGGGGCTATTGCTAGTTTAAATTACAGTTTTGATTTATACATATTTTTTATCTTACATATATGTATTTTCCTATTTTCAGATGGTCTTTCAGACAGAGGGTACAGTTCAATGAACCATGTGGATGGAATAAAACCGTCTCCAGTTCTGGAGACTGTCATTTCTGATGATGTTAAGAAAGAAGAGAAGTCTGACACAGATGTCACTTCAGAAAGTGATAAGAGAAAACAAAATGGTGTTTATGTGTTACATTTTTTTCATAATTTGATTTTATTAAACCAAACTCATTATGAAAAGGGAATTGCTGTTTGAGTTTTTTGTAAGTTGCTACAGCATTAACATAAATAATAAATTTATCATGATGAGTAATGTGATATAATTAAATTTTGCATCCAGTTTTATATGAATAGAAATCTCTTTTACTATTGCAAAATTTTGTTTTGAATGTGTTGTATGTTTTTTTTTTTTTTTTTTTTTTAATTTTTGTTTTAAGTATGTATTTTGTATTGGTATTGAACTTCCAATTTACTGGAAATAGCATCCATAGTCAACTCATAACATCAGTCTGATGGCAGTTAAAAACACAGAAAGTCATATCATAATTAACAGAAAAACTCTTTTAACAATTTATCTGCATTTTAAGCATTTTCTTGTGGCAATAAGTTTCCGTGATTCTGAAAATTAAATCACAGTTCAAAACAAAAACTACAAAATGTAAATAATGGAAATATAAACAACTTTAGAAATGAACTATATGCGAACTAATAATAAATGCCACTGAAGAAAAGCATGTACAATAATACTTCATTTAGTTCAAATTTATGAAAAAAAGTGTGTTAGAATTTCTTTTCTACTTCATGTACACAGTTTTGCTTAATGCAAATGGATTGTAGTATTAATCTTTTCATTACTCCACAATAAACCATTTTAATTTTTAAATAAATATGAAATTGTAAAGTGTTCAATTTGAAATAAATTTTCTTTCTCCTTTTAGATATAAAATGTGCTGCTGCAAGATGTTTAAAATTCAAAGAAATAGATTTCTCAGCTTCTGACGACTTCAGAAGTCGTGTTGGTAGCATAGTAAAAAGTTCAGCTACAAGTATTGGCAGTCTTTCACAGCTACAAGACTTTACTGGTATAAGTTTTTTAATGGTTATTTTATTTATTGAAAATTGTATTGAATTATCTACAATTCCACTATTTGTGATTTCACATATTAATTTATTTATAGTTTGCTCTTTAATGTATGAGTTTCCTCTTTTAAGTTAAAGTTTGCTCTTTAATGTTTACTATCTAATGTATAGTTTTTGAGAAAATTATATGTACAGCCTGAGGATTTTTATCTCATTATATTTCTCTGAAACAATTATTCTTTTTTTCCCCCTGAATTTCAAGTGGAGTTTCCTTCATTGTGTGGTTTCCATTCACTTGTGTACTCCTGAAAAGTCAGGGAAGATATGAAGACTTTTAAAAAGTATCAGACAAAATCATAATTTTTTCTCAAAAGTCAGGGATGTTGAAAAAATGCAAATCGAATGTCACAGATAATAAAACATTCAAATATTTAGTACATTTTACGGTTAAGTTATTGCATTGTATTTAGTAGTATATGAATAGAATTAAATATCCATACTTAATATAATAACTAAATTATGTTTGTCAGGGAAATTATTCTCTTTAATCAAGGAAATCCTACAGAGGTATATTATTATTTGTAGGATTACAAATTTAACTTAATAACTCACATGATGCATGAATTCTATGAAATCCAAAAAGTGGCATGAGGAAAAGAATGCTTTATGATAAAAAGAGTAATGACGTACATGAAAGCTTATTAAATAATTCCTTACTCCATTTATGTTATTTCTATATGTATTTAAAACAAAGTAGGCTTTTTAAGAAAGTATAGCACATAGATTTTTTATGTGCAAAATTTATTGAATTATCTGGGGATCAAATCAAGTATCTGTCTGAAGCTGTGTTATTTTTATTTTATATTCATACATTAAAAAAATATGTGTATTTAATAACTGAGAAAATATTGTGGGAACTGTTTTATATTGTATATGTGTATGATTATAACACAAACTTTATTTCCTTAATCATAAACTGCATTGAGGAAACAAGTATCATTTCATATTTAAAGTGAAAGTTGCTACTTATTTGAAGAGAAGTTTAAAGTAAGAAATGCCAGAAAATTATTTAAAAAATGGAAATATTATTTAAGAAAGTGCAATAAGTTTGTAAGTTTATGTAATAGCTTTTATTTGTCAGTTTGCCATCACTAAAAAAATATTACTTGTAATGCAGTGATTTATTTTGTTTTGATTTATTTACGAGCTGTTCAGTGAACAAGAAATTAAATAACAAAACCATACTAATGAAATTTGCATACATTTGAGCTTCATAAGCATGTAAAAAATCATTGAACACTTGTAGTTTACTTCAAGTTGATTAGCAGATATTTAATCAGCAAGTTGCTTGCAGTTTTTTAAAATTTATTTTACATATGTAACTCATTTTAGCCCTAATTAATTGAGTGCTGAATGAGATCACTGTGTGGAATTTTCAAGTACATAAAATTAATTGTATGAAAGTTGTGTAATCTTCTGTAATGTGCAACCCTGTTAATAAAAGTAAGCAACATGTGCTTCTTAACTTTTTGTTACTGAACATCTGTACCAGGATCAGTTAGACTGATAGTGAATGCTGTGTATAATGAACAATTCGTAGAATTAAATAAGTGCATCAAGAGTTAGAGCTACTTTTATCTAGCAGTATCAATCTGTTCTACAGAACTTTGGAGCTCAAAGCAACTCCTGTAGAAAGTAAAATTTGAAATTTTTTTAATGCTATATGGACTGTAAAATTAATCATTTAAAATAATTAATTATGTGATTGATTTTTATTTCTGGTGTTATTGTTAGATAAAATAATATGAAAATATGTCGTTTTCTTTTTTTTGAATAAAACTGTAATGCTCACTAGCAGTACCAGTAACTACCAGTAAAATATTAATGAAATAATTCATGATCTTACCAGCAGCCAAAAAGTAAGAACGCTAAACACTGTTGGTTCAACCCAGGTTCAAATGTTTGGAAATAGGTTGGTTTCAGTTTCTGTTATGTGTAACATAAATATGAGTCAGTTTGTCTCAAAATGTCCTCCATAATGGCCATCAAAGCTTTAAGCAGATAGCCCTGAAGTGCTGTGTAATCTAATTCAGTTAGTAATCCAGTCAAATAATCTAGTCCAGTTAATTCATTTTAACCCTCAAGTTCCAAGTAATCCAATTCATTCATTTTTCTGAGGATGGTAGGAATCCACCAAAAAATATATTTTAGGAGTTTAAAAAAAAATAAATAAATAAATATAAAAAAAAAATGTGATTTATTAAGAAAGTTTGAAGACTGTCGTTGTAATGAAACATGAAAATCTATAAATATGTATTCATATATTGTGATTTAATATTTTGATGAAGCAATGAACATTATGCTTAAAAATACTTTTTTTTCCCTCACAGTTGACAGCTGTGCAGGAATACTCATGACCAGTAGGACTTCTTTGTTAGATGAAATGAAACTAAGTAGCTGGGAACCAGAAACTCGTAGACGACACAAAAGTGCTGGTGATTGTAATTGCCATGCATCCAGTTATCAGTTACTCTCTTGCAGCAATAACTTAAATGACCCAACAGATGAAAATGAACCCAAAGTATTTTTACGCTCATATAGTTTTGGCTGTGATGCTCAGATTATCAAAAAAATTCGTGCACTAAAAGAAGATTCTGAACCTCTTGCAAAATGGATTGAATCTCCTTTGAAAAAAGGTTTGTTTGATAAAAAAAGAGAAGACAAAGAAAAGGTTTCAAAAAATTTTGGATTAACTCGCTGTGATGAAGAACCTGAAATAGAGCAAGAAGTGTCTTTATTTCCTATGGGTCTCAAACAAAGGCCGAAATCACCGAATATTCCTGTTGAAAAGCAAAGAAAAATATCTCAAGAGTCAAAGCATAGTGTAATATCCAGTCTTTCCTCTGAGGATGGTTCTGCTGCAAGTACTAATGAAGATAAAAATGCTAATGAAGAAACTTCATCTACTTCATCTCAAGACTTTTTGTCTTCTACTTTTACACCACTAAAAGAAGCTTGGTTAAATTTTGGTTTTTCAAATACCGCATTACCCCGCGTTGCTTCAAACATTACAACCACATTTGGTAATGTGTATAGGGAATCATTCAGAAGAAAACAGGGAAACAAGGTGTCAAGAAGTTCAACATTTCATAGTGGTTCCAGGAATTCTGTTCCCAAATTGAAACCTCGGAAAGAAAGTTTGGGTAATTTAGATACAAATGAGATTGGAAATATGTGTAGATCATCTACTCTTCCAGTGTCGCCCAGAACGGGACCTAATTTAGAAAATGAAATGTCTGAATCCCCAGGACGAGCATTTCCTATAAGTTCTTCTTCCTTTGGAATATCTCGTTTGACAAATAAACATTCAGAGGTTTTATTTGATAGTTTGAAATCAGCTGTGACATCTGTCTCTTCTAAACTGAATGAATTTAGAAGTTCCTTGTCAGCATCAAATACGCCAACTAGAAGTGAGTTTTGAATTCTTTAATCTTTGTTGTGTATTGAATTTTATATTAATCTCATAGAACTGTATTCTTATATTGTTTAAATCTGCTCATTAATGTTAAGGTTTTGGTAGTAAAAATGAGTTTTAGTGTTCTCTTTCAATAAAAATTTTCTACTCGAACATATCCCTTTTCTTTTCTGTTCCTTCCTTCAAAATTGCTTTGGTTTTATTCTTTTCTAGTGTAATTTTGGCATATTCTTATCTTAGCAATTTAATTAAAATACATGGCTTTTTATAATTTTAACTTTCCATGCTTGAATGCTTAAAGTACTGATTACATTTGTATTAATTTTACATTTATCATTTGATCACCATATAAAAATATTAACAATTAATTTAAAACTCTGGCATCTTAATGCTACAGTATACCTTAAAATATAGAAATTAGTTATTGACATAATATACATAATTTGTCCAAGAAGTCTGAAGACAAAGTGCGTAAAACTTTATTCAAATATATCAGCCATCATCATGTCTAAAATAGTTCTTTTGATGTTAACATGCTTTTATTAATATACTTTTCATAGCTAGAAGCAAGTCTTCAGGTTTGTTTCTAATAGGTCCTTTAATTTCTTTGCCACTTTTGTCCTTATGTTTTTTACATTTTCCACATACTATGTTTGAAAATCATTTTGATTTTTGGACACAGGCGAAGGCAAAGGAAACATAAGGGGATCAAGAGTAGCACTGTGTCATTTGGCACTTCAATGAAACTTTTGACCTACTTTTTTAATGTTGTTCATTGCATGGTGGTCATTAGAGATTTGCATTATGAGAAAGAAATTTAATGCTGCTAGTTGGAGGTTCCAAAGAACTTTTAGAAATGATAGACAGGATTTGATTAAATCTTGATTGAGGAAAAATGTACATTCTAGAAACTTTTATCAAGAAGATTGAGATTTCAGGCTTCCAGCTTTTATCCAGTAACTTTACATCGCCTGAAGAAGAGACTGTCAGCGCTATTCTTAAGCCTTTCCTCCTGATTGTGAGTGGTTTGATAATGACTTTCATGCTCGGGCTTATCTGCTCACAGTGAATATACATCTTTCATTGATCCTTTTCGCCAGCTGTTTGTGATGTAATTCAGAATTCAGTGCTTAGTGAAGCTTCTGGCTTCCAAAGAAATTGCAAGATACTTTCATCCATTATTTTCCTGCTGTTTTTCATAGACTGTTCAACATATGTCTTGGTGTTTTTCCATGGGCCTGGAAGAATGCCCTTGTCATTATGATATCCAAGAAAAAGAATTTTAGTGTTCTAAATGTCAGTAATGTTAGGTGCATCTGTCTCCTTTTTTCCTTGGGTAAATGATTTGAAAAACTAACATTAACATAATTACTTGGCATCTATATGAAGAAAATCTTCTTACTGCTGATAATATGGTTTCACTGCTATCCAATGTACTCAGGATACACTTTTGCATCTAAGATCACAGTACAGTGTGGCAAGATGAGAGGTTTGTATACTGTTTTATTTATTTATTTTTTGATGGTGAAAGAGCCTTTGATAATAAATGGTGGCCTGCCATTCTTAATTTATTGAAGAACATGATATGTAGACCTTAGAAAGGATGTCCACAAGGTTCTATTTTGGCCCACAACTTTGGATTATCATTATCAATGATATCTTGCAGAAACTAATCTCTTCAGTTGTGAAATTAATGTCCTTGCTCATGATTTGCTGTGTGGTCAGAAAAAGGGGTTACGTGATATATATATTATATATATATATATATATATATATATATATATATATATATTTTTTTTTTACTTTGCCCAAGATGTTTTAAATTGACCTTGTGAGTGGTTGGTAAATTTTAAGCCAAAATTTAACCATGAAAAATCTAAGATGATCTCATTTATTGAAGAAATAATATTTATGGTGAATATCAATTGCTTTTTAGTAATAATTCCATTGAGACTAAGTTTGAAATTAAATATTTAGGTGTTCTGCTGAGCAGCAAATTTAACTTGTAAAAGCATAATTTTTATATTTCTAATAAATGTGAGAGATTTCAAATCGATTTCGAAAAGTATGTAATAGTTTTTATGTTAAATTGAACGTTAGCGCAATAATTTATAAACAATGTATCCTTTTCATTTCAGATGGCTGTAGAGCTTGGGGATTTCTCTTTAAAAAAACGATTGTCTGCTTTGAGTTCAGGGGTGATTTTGCTGCGAGTTATCAGGGGTTACCAAACTATTAGTTATCATGCTGCCTTCCTTCTTGCCAGATTTCCACTGTTAGATGTATTTATTCTGTAATATATAAGTTGCAAGGAAAGCCTTTTTAATTGCTCTAGTTTTCATTTTGATCATTTACTGCCTTTATCTGCTCTTGCTCAGCCATCTGTCAGACAACAAGGACAAATTTTGTAATGCATGGATATTGATGAAAATTAATTATCAGTTGTGTGCTGTGTAGATGGTAGTAGAACTGATAACTGAGTTGGTTTTGCTTATGCCATCTATGAGGATGGTGTTGAAATTGAGCATAACGAATTGTGTATTAGAAATGAAGTACTGTTTATAATTCTGAACTTCTCTGTATTAGTTTAACAGTAGATACTTAGCCAGGCTACATATGTTTCCAGTTATTTAATCTGCCCTGATTCTGTGTCTTCCCTGGAGTCCTTAAAAATATCTCATCACATAATGATATTATTCTTAATATTCAAGAACCTATCGAGGATCTACTTGTGAAGGATATTTTTGTGTTTTTTGCATTTGTTTACGGGCATGTGCATATAATATGGAAATGAGAGAGCTGATTGGCTTGCGAAGAATGCAACTAGAAAAGATATTAATATTGATGCAAATATTCCAAAATTGTACTTTAAAAATATTCAAAGCTAAAATGATTGAACAATGGAATTATGGTTATATCACTTTTCATAAGAGAGCTATTACAAAAAAACTTTTTCCAATTATCTTTGAAAGACATAAAACTAAGAACTTATTACTCAATTTTAATGTTACACAGTTTTTGTCTGGCGTGAAAAGTTTAATATTTAACTTGAACGGTTTAAGCTGCCATCTTCCAATGTATGCTGTTGTGATCTTGGTGTTCAGCAAAGTGTCTTCCACATATTTTTGGATTACCTTTTACTTAATTATGCTAGAAATTCATTGAAATGTAAATGGAAATTAATTAGCCACTGAAATGTCCTGAATTTATTTCTCTGTCTTCGCCGATCTTGCTTTCAATGACTTTTTTAATCTTAAATCTTTTTTAATCATTTACAGTTAAATACTGTAAATGATTTTCTTTGTTTGATTGCTATACTATATATATGTTTGATGCTGTCTGTTTTTTGAGATCATCCTCCTCCAGAACAGCAGGGAGTTGAGTTTCAAGAAAGGCAGCTCTGGATTAAAAAATTTCATGGGAAGCCATTTCGACCATTCTCATCTTCCTACAGCTTTAATCAATTGTGATATTAATTAAAATGTCTGAAAAAAAGCCAATTTTTGCACTCTTTTATTCAAGTGACAATAGTCTTGCGCATTGGAAATAAAAATGCTTTATTTCGAAAAGTGTTACCAATGCTCGCTTTCAAATTGCAGAGTCTGTTAATCAAAAATTTGTCAGTTTTGTAAAATTTTAAGGAAAAAAGAAAAAAAAAATAGCATTGCCAAACATTAAACATATTATTCTAAAAGGTCATATTCTGCTGTTGAAGAAAGCATGTGATTGCATGTGATGCCATTGTATGTCAAAAATGTTTTGCTAATGTCAGCATTTTAAATAAATAGCTGCTATTGGCAACCTTTTGTTTCAGGTTAGGATAATTGACATATGTTATTGTCACATTAATTATTTTATTGATATTGATAAAAAGTTATATTACATCAAATTTAAATCATGTCATACATATGCATGTCAACCTGAAGAGCGAAAAGTTTTTGTTTCCTGATTTGGCGACAAAAATATTTAGGAATTAGTTGTTGCTTGGAAAGAATGAACTGATTTCATTCATACTGAAATGTTTTTATACGTTTTCTTTTCAGGTGTACATAGAACTTTTAAATTTTGCTTTGTCCCGCTAACTTATTCATATTATTTAAATTTGATGTGTTTTTCGTACTCACATTTTGTAATTCTCATGTGATGCTTTGTGGTGCAAGACGAATTTTTTTTTCTTCAGTAGTCTTCTCATGCAATTGTTGCTGTTGGTCGGCCTTGGTCAGGCTATCTAGCAACTAATCCAGTGCTAAAAAGCAGCTCCAAACTCTTGATATCACACTTTGAGAGATATTCAAATCTTGAGTCACCTCCATTTGTGTTTGACCTCCATTGATTCTGCAGCATTCGCCACTTTTAACCTTTACTTAAATGTTGCCTTTGAGCCATAACTATTGAATACTGATCGCTCTTAGAAACCACATTCACTTTAAACAATACTGAAGGTCAGAATTCCAACATGCGTCCATTGTGCACCATATTGTCAATCACCGGATTTGTGTATTTCCCATGCTAATGTATGTGCAGAAGTGCAATTCTGTGTTCAGTTGTATTTAATTATTGTAAATAATTACAGTATTGGACATTAGTTGCAACATTAACTTAGAGCATATTTTTTTTCTCATTATCCTTTAATGATCAGTGTACAAGTCATTTTTGAAGTAACATCCTTGAGAACATGGTGCTGTAAATTTATATTATTTGTTATAGTTTTTTGTGTGTAATTAACGTTTCATGTGTTTTTACATGTGAATAACTGCATTTTTATGTATTGGCATTTATGTATATATTTATTTAGTGCATTTAATTATTTATTTCATGAATTATATTGTAACTCTTTTAACTCTGAACTAATTGATACTCTAGAATCGAGATATGAAAATCGTAAGGATAGTAAACAGAACTAGAGATATGACCAAAGGTCCTTCCACTGGGCCTTGGCAATATTTTTTATCTACAAGACAGCAACATTTGGTGATTTCTTGTTAACTTTGTAAT